TGGGGAGGCTGAGCCACTGTGCCCTATAGGACATCTAGCACAGAAAGCCAATCTATCAACACAGGGAAGCATAAAAAATGTGGAGACAAAGAAACAGGACACAAATGACAGAAATGGAGGAAAGCCCACTACTGGATATATAGCTCAAAACCACACTTTTAAGGTTTTTCAAGAATTTCCTAGAAATCGCTGATAAATTTAGTGAGACCCTCAAAAAGTCTGGTGAGACCACAGATAAATGTAGTGAGACCCTCGAGGTTATGAAAAAGGACCAAATAGAAATTAAGCATACACTGACTGAAATAAAGGATATTATGCAGAGTTCCAACAGCAGACTAGAGGATCACAAGAATCAAGTCAAAGATTTGAAATAAGAATGAGCAAAAAACACTCAAACGGAAAAGCAAAATGAAAAAAGAATCCAAAAATACGAAGATAGTGTAAGGAGCCTCTGGGACAGCTTCAAGCGTACCAACATCCGAATTATAGGGGTGTCAGAAGAAGAGAGAGAGCAAGATATTGAAAACCTATTTGAAGAAATAATGACAGAAAACTTCCCCCACCTGGTGAAAGAAATAGACTTACAAGTCCAGGAAGCACAGAGAAGCCCAAACAAAAAGAATCCAAAGAGGACCACACCAAGACACATCCTAATTAAAATGCCAAGAGCAAAAAACAAAGAGAGAATCTTAAAAGCAGCAAGAGAAAAACAGTTACCTACAAGGGAGTACCCATAAGACTGTCAGCTGATCTCTCAACAGAAACTTTGCAGGCCAGAAGGGACTGGCAAGAAATATTCAAAGTGATGAATGCCAAGAACCTACAACCAAGATTACTTTATCCAGCAAAGCTATCATTCAGAACTGAAGGTCAGATAAAGAGCTTCACAATTAAGGAAAAGTTAAAGGAATTCATCACCACCAAACTAGTACTATATGAAATGCTGAAAGGTATCCTTTAAGAAGAGAAAGAAGAAGAAAATGGTAAAAATACAAATTATGAACAACAAATACACATCTATCAACAAGTGAATCTAAGAATCAAGTGAATAAATAATCTGATGAACAGAATAAACTGGTGATTATAATAGAATCAGGGGCATAGAAAGGGAGTGGACTGACTATTGGGGGGGGGAGGGGGGAGGGGGATGCGGGAAGAGACTGGACAAAAGTCGTGCACCTATGGATGAGGACAGTGGGGGGGGGGGGTGAGGGCGGAGGGTGGGGAGGGAACAGGGTGGAGGGGAGCTATGCGGGGGGTGGGGGGAAAGTGTGGAGGAAAGGGGCCACATGCTGACCCGACAAGCTCAGGAGAGGCCTGCATGGCAGTCTTGCAAACTCGGAGACCTAGTAACCACAAAGGATGGTCTGAAATTAAACTTTAACTAAAAGCAGTTATGGTGGGCAGTTATGTCCTGGGCCAGTATCTTCACCGACAAGTTCAACCTTTACCTTAACTGAGCCTATCTGTTTTTTTGCATCTGTGATAACATACTCTTGAAATGTCTGGGTCACTTGTGACTTCCCTTTATCTGGAGCCCCTGGGGCACAACCAAATGTGCTGGGCCCCAGGACAGATACCACAAATTCCTTCATCATCATGTTAATTATTCCTGCACCCACCTAAGTATGTGTCCATCATTTTACTTTTTATACAATTCCAGGCATTTCCCCACTTTGCTTTATCCCTCCTCCTTAATCTATCACCAATGAATTTCATGTAACCCACCTATGTTCCTCCTTTGATTGAAATGTATAAATACAAATGTAACCCCGCCATTCTCCGGAGCATTATCTCAATTCGTTGAGGTTCTGCTTCCCGGCATATGTCGACAGTTTGGCTCAAATAAACTCACCAAAAATTCTTTACAGGTTTCAATGGTTTTTTACATTAACAACTGTAATAATCTGAACAATAAAGACTTAATTAAGAAAAAAAAGACAAATGATACCATTCTCATTTTGTCTGTTTACATGTTACAGAATGGACAGGAAATAAATTTGTCTCTTAAATTTGAGAAATAAATTGCTTAAATGATGAAAGAAAAATAAATAAATAAAAATATAACATTGGAATGTGATAACTATCATGCTGGAGGCAAGCCCAAGGTGCTTTCCCCCCCAAAAAAAACCTTTATAATCCTTTAAAAAATATTTTTATTGTTAAAAGTATTATATATGTCCGCTTCCCCGCCCCCCCAATTAAACCCCTCCAGCCTTCCCCCACCTGCCCCCACAGGCTTTCACCACCTAATTGTCCATGTCCATGGGTTATGCATATTTATTTATTTATTTATTTATTTATTTATTTATTTATTTATTGTCTTTGGTTGCTTATCTCCCCTGCCTTCCCTCTGAGATTTTGCACTCTGTTCCATACTTCCATGTCTCTGGATCCTCTCTGTTCATCAGTTTATTTTGTTAATTATATTCCACATATGAGTGAAATAATGTGATAATTGCCTTTCTCTGACTGCTTATTTCACTCAGCCTGATACTCTCCAGGTCCCTCCATCCTACCTCAAAGGTTAAGAGATTATTCTTTTTTACTGCTGCACAGTATTCCATAGTATAAATGTACCACAGATGTTTTAGCAACTCATCTACTGATAGGCACTTAAGCTCAAGGTGCTTTGTAAATACCAGGGAGAGGCACTTGGCAAGTCCTGGGGCTTCACAGGATGCTTCCTGACCAAGATCATGTGCCATTAGTAGGTGAGGCCCAGGACAATGGTAGAGGTTTGGGTGGTGAGTGGAGTGGGAGAGCTATGTAAACAGATAGAACAGCACACGGGAAAAGGATCAGAGATAGTGTAATGGGACAATCAAGGGGTCTGAGATGCCTGTCACTACTTGAGCCACTTCAGCAGAGACAGGGTTGAATCATATATGAGTGTTTGTTCCTATACTGCCAACAGCATGGGAGAGCAGCAGGTCATCCACAAAAATCTGCTTTGCAGCCCCCTATAAGCCAGCTGCTTATCTGTGGTAAAACAAAGATTACATGGGGAAGTAGGTATTACAGGCAGGGAGAAGTAGGAGGCTGGGGTGGGAATCCATTGTTTGGGCAACAAGGTTGTTAATCTTTTCATGATAATAGGCTGTTCTTGAAGGAGAATGGACCACATTCCAAGGCTGACTCCCTGGTCCAAGATTGACCCCCAGGTTCTGGGGGCATACAACTCTTAGCCAGGTCAGAATGTCCTTTCTTGAACCAACACAAGGCAATCATGGTTAACAGAGCACAATTAATATTTCCCATAACCATAACTAATCCCCCAATATTCTATTTTTTTCCCCCCTCTAATCATAGCAGCAGCCTCTGTCTCTCCTTTGATCTATTGGCCTGCCTTTGACTTTCCTACACAGATTTCTTCCTAGGGCAGTGGTGTCCCTGGCTCTCTCAATCCTGGGAGAGAAAAGATGATTGTACTTCTTCACTAGCCAATCAAACCCTCCTAACGCCATACACCAGCTGCACTCACATTCCTAGGTTCTCCTTGACCCACCAGACACACATGTACCCTTGGAGACCGTCCATCAATACAGGATCCTAAAAGAAGAGTCTTTACACCCATTACCCAGTTACATACCAATAATAATATTGGGCTATTCTTCAAAGGAGGGATTGAGAATATTTTAGTGTTTAAATGATGGAAGTCAGTGTCTGTGGCAGATGGAATTTACACCTCTCTATCAAATAAACCACCCTAAATGCTTATTCCTGACAAAAGGCAAATCAAATTCCTCCCAGGGCACTAAGAGGACCCTCCATAGGTCAGAGTGTTTCTCTGGTAGGAATCCAGAAAAGTGGAGAGAAGAAATCTAGCTGCTATTTAATATAGTAAATATATTTATATTTTTATAAATATAAATATAATATAGTAAATACACTTACTATATTAAATATACTTACTATATTTAAATATATTTTAATATATTTAAAATCTAGCTGCTATTCCATTCTCTAACATGAGAATGGAAGCCTATCTGAATTTGCAGGGCCAGTCTCAGGCCATAGGAATATTATGTTCATAGTGGGCAGATCCTGTGAACTTTTTTTTTGAGGGCATCCATTCACTCAAGGAACTAGCAAGGTAGTCACTTGAAAGTGAAGAACTGAGGTCAACTGAAAATGAAGAACTCAAGTCCATCCTTGCTCACATGTAGGAGGAGCCCATTCCTACCAGGGGCCTGAGAGATTTGGCAGAGGCTGGGTGAAGGCTGAGCGTAGAAGAGATTTCCCTTATGGAGTTCAAGGTCAAGTCAACCTACAGTCAATAGCTCCGCTCTGAATTATAATAAAATACCACTCAACACTTAGTAGGATCGCTATATTTAAAAAAAAACAAAAAACATTCATGAGAATGTTTAAAAATTGGACCCCTCGTACATTGCTGGTGGAAATGTAAAATAGCGGGGCCACGTTGGAAAACGAGAGTCACCAGATGGCCCAGAAGTTCCACTTCTAGGTACATACCCAAAAGAAATGGAAACATGTTCACACAAAAAACTTGTACACAATGTTCATAGCAGCGTTATTCCTAAGAGCCTCAAACCGGAAACAACCCAAACACTCATCAACTGATGAATGGGTAAACAAAATGTGGTATACCCGTACACTAGAATATAGCACACATAAAACTTTAAAATGTTATGCTAAGTGAAAGAAGCCAGTCACAAAAGACCAAATATTATGACTGCATTTATGTGAAATGTCCCTCCCCTCCCCCCTCCCCCATAGGCATATCCCTGGAGGCATATCCATACAGAAAGCAGATTAGTGACTGCCTGGGGCTAGGGTTGGAGGGCAGGGAGGGGGCACTGGGAAAGGGAGGAGACTGTTAATGGGTATGGGTTTAAAGTCCTACAATTGGCTCCTTTCTGAGGGGGTGTGGCTAGGCCCTGGGGGCATGACTGAACTCCTGGGTGGCACAAGCCAGTTTAAAGCCTGTCTGAGGCGCAGCAGCCCAGGCTGTAGGGGCTACTACACCTGGAGGCATGGAGGAGTGTGCTTGCCTCTGCGGTGCGGGCTCTTTATGGGGTTGTAAGTGTCATCAGAAGCACCAGAGCCCAGCTGAGACCGCAGCAGCCGATGGCAAGCAGGCCCCTGCAGAAAAGCAAGTCAAGGCAGACGCTGCAGCTCGGTGCTGTGCGGGGAGTGGAGGAATCGCGAGCCCCATGCCGCCCCCGCCCCCGCCGCCCCCGCACTGCTCCCTGCAGGACTTTCCGGTGGAGATGCTGGTGGAGATCTTCGCCTCACTTCCCGGCAGCGACCTGCCCAGCCTGTCCCAGGTCTGCACCAAATTCCACCACATCCTGCACACTGACAGCATCTGGAGACGGCGCTGCCGCGAGGAGTTTGGCATTCGTGAAAACTTGCAGAACCTAGAGATGATCGGTATGTCTTATCGAGAAGTCTATGCGAAGCTGTTCCCATACAGACACATTTTGGGGTTGTGGCAGCTAAATTACAGCGTGAGAATACTGCTGAATGTCGTGGTGGACGGCAAATGCATTACTGGTTGGCCGTACAGGCCTTCCCTCAACACCCCTGTGCGGGGCCCAATGCCTATCAAGCCCTCGTTCCGAATCCGCCTGACGGAGAGGAACTCAGCCGCGCTGGAGTGCATGGCCGGCCTCCTCGGCAGGCCCCACAGCGGCCACATGCAGATCCAGGGGGACAGGCTCACCATCCAGTGCAAGAGGACCGACCACCGAACGGGTTCACCAACGCGGCTTCGGGGAGAACGGGGGCGGGGGCGGGTGCAGGAGGACGGACAGCGGTATGACTGCCTGACCTACCGCCGCCTCTACCTCCCGCCTCGCCGCCCGGACGACCCCATCAGGCCCGGCCTCTTCCAATACTACTATGATACCTTCAGCCTAAAGACTGCCATGCTCAGCTTCCATGGGAAGTATGCCAGGGCCACCAATACCACGGGAGACTCCAGCGGGATGTTAGAGATCCACCTCAGGCGCCACATCCAGCTGCCTGATGGCGAGTTCTTCCGCAACTTCAACGAGCTCTCCTGCGTGGTCCGGGAGATTGACGAGCAGGTGATCCGGGAGCAGCAGCAAGAAGATCGGACTGAGGAAAGCCAGGGCCATGGCTGGCAGAGCCCTGCCCAGCCCAGCGTAGGGGAGTCCAGGGCTGCAGCTTCGGAGGAGCAGCCTGTCCGGTTTGTGCTGCCTGTGGGCGTGCGCTCAAGTGACCAGAACTACCCCCGGACCTGCAGGATGTGTTTCTATGGCGTGGACACTGTTACTGTTGGCTTACGTGGCTTCTCCTATACCAGGCGCTTACCTGGAGTCTTCATCCTGTTCGATGAGAACCACGTCGGGTTCATCTGGCTGGAGGGGAAATACTTCTTCCTGTTCGGCAGAGTCCAGAACACCTTCCAGAATGTGGAGGCGCCATCCCCGCAGGCCTTCCTGGAGATGCTCAAAAACACTCAGTCCGGACCCCCTGGGAGGAGCAGCTTGCATGCACTTTGAAGATTTGACCTTCCGACCAGGTTACCCACCTATGTTTGTTTTTTTAATCCTCACCCGAGGGTATTTTCCCATTGATGTTTAGAGAGAGTGGGGGAGAGAGGGAAAGACAGAAATAATGGATGTGAGAGAAACACATCAGTTGGTTGCCTCCTGCCCAAGCCCGGACCAGGGCCAGGCTGGGTAGGAGCCAGCAACTGAGGTAGAAATAAACCTTAGACCAGTGGTTCTCAACCTTCCTAATGCCGTGACCCTTTAATACAGTTCCTCATGTTGTGGCGACCCCCAATTTCATGGTTACCAACTGAACATAATTAAAGCATAGTGATTAATCACAAAAACAATACGTAATTATATATGTGTTTTCCGATGGTCTTAGGCGACCCCTGTGAAAGGGTCGTTCGACCCACAGGTTGAGAACCGCTACCTTAGACCTTTCCATCCGCAGGTCTAGACTCTATCCATTGAGCCAAACCAGCTAGGGCTGAGCATGTCTTTTTAAAAAGAAAGAAAGAAAAAGGAAAGATCCTAAAATTAGATAGTGGTAATTGTTAGATTGTACAACTCTGAATATAATAAAAACCACTGAATTGTACATTTTATTATATTTTTTAATTACATCTTTATTGTTCAGATAAAAAAAAGAAATGTATATGTTAAAATCGGAATCTCTAGTATCTCAGAATGTGACAGTATTTGGAGATAGGATCTTTAAAGAGGTAATTGAGGTAATATGAGGGGGTCTTTTGTGGGGCTTAATCCAATATGTCTTGTACCTTTAAGAAAATGTGAGACACACCAGACATGGGTGCACAGAGAGGAAAGACCATGTGAGGACATACCAAGTAGGTGGTCAACTGCAAGCCAAAAAGAGAGGTCTCAGAAGATAGCAAACCTGCTGACATCGTGATCTCCAACTTCCAGCTAGCAGAACTGTGAGAAAATAAATTTCAGTTATGTAAGCTACACAGTTTGTGGTATTTTCTTATGGCAGACCTAGCAAGTTATTATAGTGACTAAATTGAAATTGTCTGAGTAGTAGAAAGTGACAAAAAGCCACAAAACATGCAAAAATCTATTGTATGCTTTGCCCTATTTAAGATAGTGCTTCTCAGAAAATTAATGGATTATCAACTACTTTACTCTAAGTCTAAGACAAAATGCAAATTTGCTTCCCCCTATGTTCAACAGTATGTCCTACCAACAAAAATTTAAAATATCAATTGTAAGTAATATATAAATTAAAGTATAGAAAATATAATTTATATAGACCTGCAGAATAAAGGTATTATTGAAAATTTGCCTTATGTGAAAAATATTGTCTATCTTTGTTTATTTATATAATGAACACTTAAAGTCATTATTTGGTAAAACATTTCTTCATGTTTATATGGCTATATTTGACTAATTAAAAAACCCTAAGTAAATACAGGATTTTAAAAGTAAACTATAATAAGTTTAAATAGTTTTGTGCATTTATAAATAACACATTTCACACAAAAATTGCCCAGTTTCATTTATTGATTACAGATAATGGAAATCCTTATTGGCTTTGCCTTAAGAGAAATTTTATTTACAATGACTTTGGTTGCAGATAAGCTTCACTTAAAATTTCACGGCTGTCATATGTGAACGGAATGCTCTCAATCTTTATGACAGTAAACTGGGATTTAAGGATGATACATCCAATATTATTGTGAAGATTAATATAGATAGATAGACACAGAGTTGTATAACAACTGATATGTAATCTTTAAGGCATGATTCCCAAAGATATTACATAGTTAATGTCAGCCTTCTATTTAATAAGCAGTTGATTATTTTTAATTAAAAATTTTTTAATTTATTAAGCAAAACACTTCAGTCTGGCCAATTCCTCTTTATTATTTAGTAGGTCCATCGTTATTCCCTAATCAAATTGTAATCTATCCATAAACTCTCCATGTAAAATTTTGTGTCTTCATGCCTCCATCCTAATTCATATCTGATATGCCCTCCTTACTTGCTTCTTTGCTTGTCAAGGATAGTAAAATACGCCACACCCAAATATGCCTCTTTGACATCAGGATTATTTTGAGAAACAGCAAATGCAGGAGAAACTCTAAAAATAGAAGTTACCTTTATGTAAGAGAAATTTACATTAGAAAGGGGTTTTTCCCAGGAGGAGAGCTAGTAGCAGAGATCACCTTTCTTTTCAGAGAGACTTATGTGCACAGTTGGGCAAGTTTTGTTTCAACCCATGAAACAGGAGATCACCAGTTTGATTCCCAATCAGGGTACATGCCCGGGTTGGGGGCTTGATCCCAGGTAGGGTGCCTGCAGGAGGCAGCCAATCAATGTTTCTCTCTCATCAATGTTTCTGTCTCCCTACAGTGCTCCCTTCCTCTCTAAAGTCAATAAAGACATATTTTAAATAAGTAAATAAAATTACTCTTCAAATAAATTTTACTAAATAGACTGTATTGGTGTTGAACTAGCTTTCTAAGGCCAACCTGGAGCTACTCCTACCCAGGGTGCCACATCAGTAAACTAAAAGTTATAAAACTTCCGTGTCCCTGTAAATGCTCACCTCAACTAGAAATGCATTATATTCAGGCAGGCAGTCCCCAAACACGAAGATAATGCTGGGCCTTCTCACACGAAGCATGACTGACTCTGTGGCCACTGACAACCAGATATTTTCTATTTTTGTTCATTGTTTTGTATTCTTTATCCAACAAAAACTTTCTGCCTTCTGACCCATGATGTAGTCCTGACTCAGGGTTGTTTTATTGAGCAGGGTTATTTCTTCCCCAGGTCCTTGTCCAGACGGATTCCAAGAATGAAGACACAAACAAAATATGGCAGGTGAAAATTACAGAAAGTTTATTGCAAGCAAACACTATGTCTAAAACCTTAATTCTAAATTCTAAGCCTTAAACTCTGTCCCTCTTGGTGCAGAGGGGCAGAGGAGCCACCTAAGAAAAGTGTCCTCCAAGTTCCTAATCCTAAGACTCTGTCCCTCCTGGATGGACAGAGGAGCCCCAAAGAAGGGTGATCACTGCTTTCTTTGTCTTGAGGCATTAAATAGGCTGGAGACCCTCCTTTTCTACCGTGGGGCCTTAGCCCTGTAATCAGCTCCCATGACCCCCACATCCACACTTTTCCTTGTTTGGTCATCTTACCTGTTTAGGTTGGAGTCACTTTTGATTTATCTTGTGGTTTTCTCCCAGTTGTGCTGAAAGAGGTGTCTTATCTTATAGCTCTCCCAGCTGCTCAGGTCAGGACTACTGTTGGTCTGAATTATGGTCACTTTAATTGCTCAGGCCAGAGATACCCCTGTCTGTCCTTGGTTTATGGCTATTTTAATTGCTCAGGCCAGAAATATTTCTATCTGCCTGTGGCATTTCTCTATCCTCTGTACAAGTAAGACAAGCATCCTGGCGTCTTCAAGTCTCTATCTATGTATTCCTCTCCCATGGACCCTCCTCATTCCATAAACCTTCCTAATTAAGCTAGCTAGCTAACCCTTTCAGTTCTCTGAAAGACTATTCACTTCATGAAGTGTTTATACATGATGTTAGAATCACCTAAATATTCTACTTTAATCACTTTTATTAGCAATTGGTTGCAGGCTAATTGTTATATATATCGAGTTATTTTCATGCAACCAAAAGTTTTTTAATAAATCTTTATGGTTGAAAGTATTACATATGTCCCTTTTTCTCCCCCATTGCCCCTGCCTCACCCCCCGAGGCCTTCACCACCCATTGTCTGTCCTTGAGTTATGCATATATACTCATATGAGTTCATTGCCAACCAACAATTTTGAGCACTTCCCATTTCCAGGGCACTATTACAGGTTTAAAAATCAGTGAATTAGCAATATGACTTCCTTGTTCTCATAGATCTTGCATCCAGACCTTGAGGATGTATAAAACACAAATAAGCAAATTAACAAAATATTTCAGATGGCTATATGTGAACAAAAAAGAACAAAAAATTATACAATTTCATGGGTAGTGGTGGAGGTTAGGGAGGCTTCTGAGAAAGAGCCAAACATGAATTAGAAAAGATCAAGCATTCCAGGCAGAGAAGAGCAATGCAAAGGCCTAATGCAAGTGACCTTGACATATTCAAGGAAGAGCAAGAAAGCAATAATGCAGTCCTTATTTAAATCGAGTGCCACTCAAATATAATTGTAGGCTTTGTGGTTTCTTTTCTAAAGAGGCTTACAATAGCAATGGGACGTGATATTGGATACTGGAGTGAAATCACTTGCATCTGTACTCAACAGACTTCAATGTGTGCTGTTGGAATTAGAGAAGATCAGTTTTCTTCACAGCCTCTATTTCTGAACGAGGGAGGTTGGAACTGAAATAGGAGCAACAAAAGACTAAACCTGACTTCTCCAAGGCAGGAATCCTACTAGGACAACATCTAAGAAATTAGTAATATACTTTACCAAGTCTGTGGATGGATATCCTATATAATAAAAACCTAATATGCAAATTGTCCCCTTGACTGGGAGTCTGGCCACACTCACTGCATCTCTGCTGTACTCAGGCGGAGGGGCACACACAGGGGCTTGGGTGCCCAGGTACTGCCCAGGGTCCAGAGGTCTGGGGCCTGCCCTTCCACGCTTATGCTTCAATAGCCAGCCAGGCCTAGGGACCACATGCATGCATGAATTTCATGCACCGGGCCTCTACCTTTAATATAGATAGATATAGATATAGATATAGAATAGATATAGATATAGATATAGATATAGATATAGATATAGATATTACTGTTTTGTTCTTGTCTGCCTTCTATTTTATCTACATGACTGCTTTTCTATGAGTAGAGTTTTCAGTATGTCTTTTCCTCTATTCTATATTTCTCTTATCCCATGAGATATGTAATTTTTCTTCATTATTCATGATTTGTCAATTTATAAATATATCAAAATTCTTGTTGAAATTTTTTAGATATACACTATATTTTAGAATTGTTACACTGAGAATTGGAGAGAATACATATCTATTTTAAACAGAGAATTATGAGACTAATTTCTCTGTTCTCAAAATTATAATTTAACTAATGTAGTCTAAAATGTCACTAGATTTTACTTGTTAGCTTTGTTGAATCATCAAACTTTTTAGTAAGTTGAGTATATGGAAAAAGTGAATATATATCTATCTCTGTCAGTCCTTTCATTTAAAATCATACAACAAATTATAAAATTACTGTAGCAAAAATATTCAAATGTCTCTTCCTAAACTCCATGGCATGACTTTTTAGCCTCACTGCTCAAATATATATATTTTATGGATATCTCATCTACAGTTTCTCACCTTTCCCAATTGACTGTAAGTCTGAGATTTCTCACACCTGGCAAATGAGTTCAGGCCATAGCACAAATAATCTGCCAATCACTTAGCCAGCAATGAGAGAAACATTGTTCTTCCTCTACAAAGAGCCAAAAAAATTGAAGCCCCTAGCAACTCCCAAGTGTAATTTATGCTATCAAAGAACATACTGAATATATAATCCTTGAAAAGGAAGTGCTAGATATGTTGAATCTTAAAAAGTATTCCTTGACCCTCAAAAAACAACAATCAAATATGATTTTCTGCCAAAACCGGTTTTGCTCAGTGGATAGAGCGTCGACCTGTGGACTGAAAGGTCCCAGGTTTGATTCCGGTCAAGGGCATGTACCTGGGTTGCGGGCACATCCCCAGTAGGAGATGTGCAGGAGGCGGCTGATCGATGTTTCTCTCTCATCAATGTTTCTAACTCTCTCTATCTCTCTCCCTTCCTCTCTGTAAAAAATCAATAAAATATATTTTAAAAAAATATGATTTTCTCTGATTATCTTTTAGTTTATCAACAGTAAGAACTCTGTTCACTGTTTTGACAAATATTCTGATACCCTGAATGGCAAGCTGGAACTCTCATTAAAGGTTCTTGTCCTATGAAGTTTAAAGAACAAAATTCACTGACTAAAAAATTTTAAGCAAAAGCATGGAAGTTTATTGCAAGCATATACAAACTCCCCCCTGGGGAGGGATTCCCATTTGGGGAAAATTTGATCTCCTCCCAAATGGGAAAAACCTAGTCCAGTGAGTCTCTTTGTCTACGGGTTTATAAATGCTCATAGTTTCTTTGTCTGTTCATCTCACTTACTAATCGGACCTTTCCTTATTTTTATGTCCCCTGTATTTTTCCTACTTGGCCACCTTCCTTCTTTTCCCTGCATGGTATCAGTTTCGTTTTCAGAGCTCACCTGGTGCCCCCCTCTGCTACTTCCCCATATCTTTTAACATTCTTGTAAATAATCGGGTTGCTTGGAGTGTCTCTGCCCATTATGTATGCATCCCTTTCCCAAGAACACTCCCCCCCTCCCCCCTGCCACCTTTTCCCTAAAACTGCCTTTCCTAATCTCTGAAATCCTCTCAATACTAAACTAGACTAAGGAGAAAGTTTCAAGGGAAAATTGGAGGTCTATCAAGCCCACATCAGCCTAGCTTGATTCTAAAATTGTTAGTTATTATTATTATTATTATTACTATTATTATTATTAATAAAGTTTATCTAGCTTATCACATGAGACATTTTCAACCTCCACACTGTTTTAAACTTTCATGATGAAATGTATAGGGGTAGAATGATCACCTTAGGTATTACGCATTACAAGTATATAATGCAAATTATTTTTCAGCATTAGCAGGAATCACATGAAGCATCCTGGAGAATATGGAATAATGGGCTAGTAATGTTCCCCTGATATCCTGTGGAGAAATATGCTTTTTTCCAAGGTGCAGCTGAATCAATCTGGGTTGTGTCTTCAAACGAAAAAAATAACATGTACACACACATTCCAGATGATCATTCATATTCATAAAACATATTATTAAAGTAGAAAAAGTATAACTTCTAGTATTTGATATAGACATGTTGGTTGAATTGATAAGTTTAAAATATCCATGAAATAATATTTGGAAAACTAAATGCAGGTGAGATATATATATATATATATATATATATATATATATATATATACACTCCAAAGTGATTTTATTTTATTAATTCAATTAATTGAATGTAAGAAAATAAACATTTCATTATATGCCAAGTATTCATTTTTGCCTGGTGTTTCATTGCAATTATAAAGGGGAAATTTTGTCTCAAACTTTAAAAAACAACAACAACTGACCACTTACACATATTCAAATATTTACAAACTATAGCAAAATAATTTCTGGTGATGTTAATTTAGTTTGTTCTTTCAGGTTAAATATTCATTTAAATTTATTTTCCATAAAATTTAAAAATATTCCTTATTTAAAAATTTATTGATTTAATGCATAATTTGAAACCATACACTGAAAATAAGTTTTAAAGAGTTTAATAGTTATAAAACATACTTTATCAATAGAAATTTTAAATTCAAATAATTTCTATCATTCCATTAAAATACTTTTTATATTTTGATGGTAAACTGAAGGTTTCATAGTACAAGGCAAATATGATTATTAATTCAGTTGAATTTTGCTAAGTGGTTGACATTTTATATCATTTTACTCCATTAGAATAAACATAACAACTCTAAAAAACTCTTAACTATCCAATTGCAAATTTTGCTCTTGTTGAGTCAAATTAGTTGATTAACTGAAGAAAACTGCAGATAAATTTACAATAAGAACAGTTTTGCCACAGTTAGTACTTCACAGTTCTACAAATTCTGTAATATTAGAGGCAGTTTTGAAAAGTCTAACTACCATGCCACTGCAAAGGCTCAGCAACCCAGCTCACTTGCCAAATAGGATGCCTTTTTCTCATTAATCTGCTCATACATTTAGAAGGTGTTGTTTTTACTAATTCATAGAGAAATCCAATATAGTAATATAACAGTGTTTAACAACATTTTCCAAGCATATGCAGTATCCCATTAGGTTACTTGGTAATATTCTAATACTCTTTTTCTCTTTCAGCATTTTCTTTTGAGTTTTGCATGAATGTTGACAGGTCCTGACATCCTGTGCTCAATATACCTTAATGGTATTTTATGCACTATGGAGACTTGGGAAATAAGAGTGACAAACGAAGCAGGACATCACTCTGAAGAATGTAATTTGTATTGATATATTTCAAGCCTGACTTATCCAGAGTTATATTGAAACCAAAATGCGGGACGTTGTTTCAGTCCGAGTTATTATCTCATGAAATAAAAAAATAAAGTCTCAGACAAAAATGATGAATGGAACCAAAGTTTATTGGGAGAAGCCAGTGCTGGCAATGGTGTAGTTGGGGTTCCAGGAGCAGGCCAGTGTCTGGAGCTTCCTTTCCATGTGACAGTCAGGAGGGACCTAGAGAGTATGATGCTAAGCAAAATAAGCCAGTTAGAGAAAGACAAGTATCACATGACATCACTTGTATGTGGAATCTAATGAACAAAATAAACTGATGAACAAAATAGGTACGGAGGCATGGATGCATGGAACACATTGACAGATCTCAGAGGGTAGGGAGGAGGGGAGGGGGCAGAAAATAACCAAATAATTTATATGCATAGCCCATGGACAGAGACAATAGTGTGGTGAAAGCCTGGGGTGGGGTGGGAATGGGGTGGGTGCATCAAGGGGGAAAAACAGGGGACACCTGTTATACTTTCAACATTAAAGACAAGTTTAAGAAACAACAAAAAACATGCCTTAATTTTTGAGTCTCTCTGCTTTGTATGACTTTCTTAGAAATAGCCCAACTTTGCAGCTTTTGAAGGAATTCAGAATTCAATTGGGGAAATTCTCAATAATGAAAAATAAAAGTGCAAAATACAACCTCAGCTGTCCCTCTCCAATTTTTAATGTTTATTTCAAAGCAAGATAAGCTCCTAAGCACAGTTGTTGAGCACCTGCTGTTCAATACTGTCAACACTCAGACCCCTCTTGACGTGATTTACAACACAGAAAACATTTCTGAATGTAGCCTTTGGAAAAATTATCCGATGTGCCTATCAAGCAGCACAGGCATGATTGGCTATGTCCCCTTCTTGAGCCACCCCTCCTTGGAATCCTTCATATCATATTCTTCTAACATGCCCCTGCCTCCATGACATAACTCATCACCTACCACAGTTTTTGATGCTTCTTCAATCTTCCCACTTAACAATGAACTCCAAGATTAGCCACCAGAGTTTTTTCAGCCCTAAATGAAGAAAAAATTCTTCTATCATACAGACAAGATACAGATTTGTCTAACTAATTTTAAAGCCTTACAATAACCTAGTCCAAGCTACCGTCATGTCTTGGGAAACTGCAATAATTTTGTAACTAATCTTCCTGCATCCATACTTTATTTAAAGTGTTAAAACTAAAAATAGTAAATTTATTT